TAGTACTTTTGATATAGATAATGAGATAAGATAATAGTATATTATGCAACGATCATGTAATGATGGTTATTAATACACGAGCATTAACCGGGATACGAAACGAGCCAAAGGCGAGTTTCGTATGGTTTATGCGAGTGTTTTAATAACCATTACATGAGAGTTGCATACGCTATTTTTTCTACACCCGATAAATAATCAAGACCTATAAATATTATATTTATATTGGTATTGAACACAATAACAGTAATTACTCGTATTTCTATAAAAAATTCTACAAAATTGTAATTAATGGTATTACTTCAGGTATTGGTATTTCCCTAGATTTTTGCGGTAAAATATTTTGTACTGTATTTTCTGCTTTCTCCGATATGTGTGGAGGAGTCTTCTATATCGCTAATATCAGACATTTTAATATTATAATTATCGAAGTTTAGCTACCTACGAAAATTTAATACGTTTTGACAACTAAAATAATTACATAGGAACCTAGGACAAACGTCAAACAGCATGCTTGATTGAAAAATTGTAGGTTTCTATTGATTAAAAATCTGTATCGTAATGAAAAATCTGTATCATAATGGGTATCATTATGAAACGGATTATGGGCATATAAGTGCATTATTATAATACGGGTGTAGAAAAAAAATATTATATATTAATCTGCCAAACGGTTGATCAACCAGCTAGGTGACAAGATCTTGTAATTAGATACATGTTGATGTTACAACAGAGAACATTCAATGATTGATGGTCAAATGGTTACATCGTTTACTAACGACCTTTGGCAGATTTTTTAACCATGTATAATTTAGATGCATATTTTCTTTTGAAGTTTTATGGAATTTAAGTGAAATTGGAACACCTGTAACAACTTTTATGCTCCGTGGGCATAAATATATAATTAAACTTTCAAACGATTGACCAATCATCCAATGGCCAGATCTTGATCTTAGATACAAGTTGATTTTAAAACGAAAAAGATCCTATCAATTAATTATCAAAGGGATATATTATTTACTAATGACCTCTGATGGATTTTTTTTTACATTTTATGACCATATCTCTATAATAACTGTCATTCACCATTCGTGGGGTCCTTAATACATAAGTGCTTTTTCTATATACCGCTTCTACTAAATCCTGTCCAGGATTTTGAATTTGATAACGTCTCGTCGACTGTCATGAGCAAGAGTGTTTGTTTTTGGCTCTTTTGTCCAGAAGAGGGCACACAAGTCCACAAATATGTAGGGGTTATTGTTATCATTTGCGAGGTTTTCGAATAAAGTGTGTGCCTACCCCGATTCAGATTCAGATTGGGTGTTGACTTTTACTAATACGTTTGATTGTCCTAGCTGTCAATTACACTTTTCGGTTAATTAGTTTAGGATTATTGAATGGGGTATTGGAAACGTGATCGAATGCCATCTGAATCATTTCAAGAGCTGTTATTGTGATGTGTTAAACGCAGATATTTTATGCTGATAAAATATGGGATAACGATAAATCTGTGTGGTCATTGAATAAATCAATTATTTTCATTGAAAACACAAAATATAATTTATTTATTGATAATAAGGTACCCGAATAGAGTACTAGAAAGAATGATCGACATACATTTGAAGCGGTATTTTAGAATTTACGGCTGGTGTTCTTAGTAATTTAGGAAATAAGGTAACTCGACCAAATATGGGCATACCTAAGCATTCTATCTCTAAGAAGCTTAATTTTCCACTATAAATTAATATCCAAAGTGGTAAGCACTCTAGGGCAGATGTGTGTAAATGACTATGAAACAGAAATGAATATAAAGATAAGCATTCCATTATTACTCAAATTTTATAATTTTAGATCAGCCAGTCTCCTATTTTGGACATGGGTGCCAAATATGGGCACCCTTAGAAAAACTCAATTTTTTAGAAGAACATTATGGTGTACGGCTGTTACCTTTTATTTATTAAAAAAGAATATGTTCAAAAACAAAAAAGATTATTCTAAGTAAAAAAAAATATTGAAAATCAATCATCGTCGCAGTCAGGGCATTTAAATGGCATTAACACATCATTAACTGTTAGACTGCAATACCCTTCGTGTATCCACTAATGACAAACATTGCACCGCCTTATATCCAGTTGCCGTTCTTCGTTACAGAGAAAGCAATACAAGGATTTTTTTTTCTTGGATATGATTCCGCTCATTGAAGGCTGAGGCTGAGGTTCATTGCCAGCAGTTTTGACAGATCCTTTTGTGTCTGATGGTAAAGATTTCTTTCTTTGAAATAATTTACGGCTTTTTTGGGTGGGGCTTTGTTTTACTTGGCAAGATCCAAATCTGGTGTTGGCAACAAATTATCGAAAGATTTGCTACATGTGTCGTTATTATTGTGATCCAAAAATTTCTCAATGTAGTCGATGCAATGTCTTCTTCGACATCTTCAGATAAACTTGTGTCACTGATTTTGCTGGCTGAATCTTTACGTTTTATTTTTTTTTCTTGCAACTGTTGCTTGGTAGTAGACGTTGTTTGAGGTAAAGAAGTTTCCAGTGGCGTTTTTGAAGGCGAATGGTTTGTGGGATAATTCAGATGGAGCATATGCAGTTTCGGTAATGATCGTGGGATCAAAGGGGTAAATCACTGTAGCAGGAAATCCTGCAGTTATATTCGAAGGGGTTACAGTCTTTAGAAAACACTACACCAAAACTTGACTTTGTAAGCTTTCGCTGAGAATGTACTCCCCAGAAACTTTGCAATTCATCTTCCCAATAATATTCGGAAGCTCTAAAAACTGATTTGTCCATTGGCTGCAATTCGTGTGTATAATTGTTTGGAAGACAGAGAAGTGCTACGTTATGACTGTCAGCGGTAGCCACAATAGCTCCTTTCAAAAGAGACTTAGCTCCATCGAAAATGAGCAGAACATTTCCTGCAGGACTATACTCTAAAAAATGATAAAGCCACTTGACGAAGGCCTCGCAAGTCACACTTCCTTTGAGCCACATAAAAACCTTGCTGTCTGGAGGAAAATTATCTTGATATTCCGGCTTAAGGCGTTTGCCTTTAAAAAGAATCACTGGTGGTTTCGCTTGACCCAGTGCATTTCCGCAGGACACAATTGACACAATTTCTGCATGTTCATGAGCGAAAAGTGGTACTCTTTTGACACCTTTTCGAGTTAAAACCTCTGGCTGCTTGTAAAGATTTAACTGACATCCTTTTTCATCCATGTTAAAGATCAAATGTGGTTTATCCATAATATCAAGTATAAACAACGTTCTTTTGAGAATATTAAAGTAGTCATCGACAATGAAATTGTTCATTTTGGCAGCTCGAGCAGGATTAACACTGTGATTTTCTTTTGGCAACTTCTGAATGTCGGCGTAAAAACAACTTTAACCATTTTCTTCCAATCATGCTGAAGTGGTTTTCTTTGTTACAGAAAGGGTTACAGTATTTGCTAAACAAAAAGAATGCACGGTTCTTAACATTTTAGACGTCAGGGGCAATCCGATTTCGGCAAGTATAAAAATTCTTCGACAAAGTTGATCTTATTGTTCGATGGTTAATAGAGATTTTCGACCTAATCGTCTCACAGTGTTGCCACTCCGAACATGTCGCTGTAGTGTTCCACGGGGTATGTTATAATTTAAGGAGGCCCGTTGTTCATTTTGGCAGCTCGAGTAGGATTAACACTGTGATTTTCTTTTGGCAACTTCTAAATGTCGGCGTAAAAACAACTTTAACCATTTTCTTCCAATCATGCTGAAGTGGTTTTCTTTGTTACAGAAAGGGTTACATTATTTGCCAAACAAAAAGAATGCACGGTTCTTCTTAACATTTTAGACGTCAGGGGCAATCCGATTTCGGCAAGTATAAAAATTCTTCGACAAAGTTGATCTTCTTGTTCGATGGTTAATAGAGATTTTCGACCTAATCATCTCACAGTGTTGCCACTCCGAACATGACGCTGTAGTGTTTCACGGGTTATGTTATAATTTATGGAGGCCCGTCTTATAGCCATTTTGACACGCGGGAACAGCTACTTAAATCATTTTGTGTCCACTGAGCTCTCTTTTTTGGCCCCATTATCTGTAAAAAAAACGTTGATCTTAACATGGGCATGCCTATATAAAGAATGCTCAATGTGCCCATATAAGGAGCATACTTCAACAATTTCTCAAATTGGAAAAACCCTAAACGTTACGCACAAATTTCAACAGAACACAAAGAAAAGGCACATGTTAAAGTGAAATCTCACCTGAAAGCCAAAACTCCTTATACCAAAGCACAGAAGAAATATTATAAAAAAAAGGTAAATTTCAGTACTCACTCTACCAGCTACTTCTAACGCACTGGCAATGTGTTTGTCCGTTGAAATGTGCATACCGAGTTGCGTGGGATCCGTTTTCTGTGACAGAACGCTATCTTTTCTCATGACGTAAATTTCGTACCTTACAACACTTTTTATCGGGATTTTGAATTATTTTGTGAAAATATTAAAAAAAATTGTTTATTGCTAAATAACGCATAGAAAATAATATTAAATTTAATTCTAAATCAATATTTCTTATTTTAATTGATTAATTATAAATGATATTTGTTATACAGGGTGTAACAAAAAGGTAATTCATAAATGGATCAACATGGCTTTCATATCGTAAGAACATCTTTTTTACATAAAATAACGAAATTTGTACAGCCCATCAAAATTTTAGGGGGTTTTTAACCCCTAAAACCCCTTAAAATTTTCTTTTCGATACAATTAAATTATTACTGTGACATCATTGGTTTAATACATTATTTTTTTAATTTTTTTACATCTCAGCACTTTTTTAAAAAGCCAGTTTTTATCAAGAATTTTGTAGTTTATAGGGATAAATAACAAACATTTGCTTTAACAATTACATGCTGTTAATTGAAACTTTCGATTATTGAGCATTTTAAGAGTGTTAAGAAAAATAAAACTTTCTGTTACAATGGTTTGTACGTTTGCAGAAATTGCAGATATGCATTTAATTTTGGGTAAGTTTAGTCGGGCTAAACCAAGATTTCAGATCTGTAATTCTGGTAATCACAGGTAAATGCCAAGGAAATAGTTCAGTAGGTGCAAGGCGTTACGCAAAAAAAAAATCTTAATCGGAATGCACTAGATAGACGATTATTTTCATCGATCGTCGTTTACGGGAGATGGGTAATTTGCGACCGCAACTTGCTGGTAATAGTGGTCGTCCAAAATGGATACAAACGATGAGCAGATTTACGAATTAGTCGAATAAAACCCTAAAAGCACTACATGGGTAACAGCTGCTCAATTAGATGTTTCGCACATGAAGGTTTTGAGAAGATTAAAGGAACAACAGCTTCATACCTATCAGTTAACAACCGTTTAAGAATTACTAGAAATTTTCCTAAAAGAATGAGATTTTGTAACTGGTTCTTAACGAAAAAGAATAGAAATAGCAATTTTAATAATCATTTTTTGTCTATCGATGAAGCTACCTTCAATAAAAATGGCATTACGAATTACCATAACGAACACAAATGGGCCGAAGAAAATAATCACGCAAAAAAAGTAACTCAGCACCAAAGGACTTTTAAAGTCAATGTTTGGGCAGACATTGTGAATAATAATTTAATAGAACCAGTATTTCTTCCAAATAATTTAAATGGTGCATTACCAAAGTACTTGGAAGAGATAAAAGAAATAGGGTAAAATAAGGCAAAATAAGGCAAAATATTTATCTACTTTGATATATGTGTGTGAGCTCATTTAATAGGGCTTGGGTTAGGTTTTTAAATAACTCTAATAACTTTGAAAAAGAAGTTGGGCACCACTATATTTAAAGCTTATACACATAACTCTACATTGGTGATAAAAATATAAAAATCACTAACCACTAACAAATTACACTTAAAACATGCTGTAGATAAGATAGATATCAAATTCTAATTCACATAAGTTTGCACATAATTCAAATATAAAACAATTTAATAAATTAGAATAATTGCACTGATCTGTTTGGTAAATAAATATATACGGGGTATAGTAAGTTAAAGATAAAAATCAGGTATTTCTTCCTTCGACCCAAACTGCAGCGGTACATCAATCCTTAAACATTATATACCAGTCAGGTAACTTTAACCAAGTGATTCGTGATTCTTATTCATAACTTTCATTTTTGACTTCTATACGTGATTGAACCGTGGATGATCTTTAAGATAAATGATTCTTATTTCTATTCGAACCTAAACCGACTAGAGATTGCCATAGGCTAAAAAGGGGTAAAATGTTATATTAGATGAAAGAAAATTTGAAAAGGATTTAGATAAAATGCTTTAACTATTAAATAAATAATTTCACAGATACTAAAATTAATATGAAAGGAAAATATCCTATTTAATATACTAAAACATAATATCTTATTCGAAAAAATAATAATATAATATTATATAAAAGCTAACATTGCAGATGTAGAGGTTATGTATAAAATTTGACAAATTGTTCGAGAAATCATTGAACAAAATATATATTTAAAAACATTATTAACAAAACGTACCTTATAAAATCAGACGGTCATTACCATAATTATTAAATAATATTTTGAATAACCAAAATAATATGACCGCTGTCTGTCATATCAAATATTAATGTTACTTCCTCTGACACAAAGCATAGACGACAAATAATATTTGAGTGATTGTGTCCGAAATAACGAAATAACGGTTCCAACCGTTACAACCATGAACGTTGGATTGGATGTACCTATTTCTTGACCAGACAGAAGTCCATATCTTAGTCCTCTTGCTTCTGGGGTTTTATGAAAGAGGACGTGTATTCTGTTAAAATAATGGAGGAACAACAATTGGGGCATCGAATCATTAAAAGTTTAAATCAATTTCGTCAGAAGCCAATCTTCCAAAAAATTCGGTTTTCCTTTTTAAGACAAGGTAACAGAGTAAACACCATATTTTTTGCTTTTGAATTAACAAAGATATGACAATAAACGATGATAGATGTCAAAAATTCGGGAAATTCACGGTGCATTATTTATTGCAACGATACAGATGTTCTAGTCTTATTAATTTATTTTAAGAAGTTTTTGACTAAAGATATATGGTACAGAACAGGACTAGGAGACTCAAGACGATTTTTAGCAGTACATTATTTAAATTTGGATAAAAACCTTCTAAAAAATGTACCTCCTTTTCATTCTCTGACCGGTTGTGATACAACCAGCCAATTGTCTGGCATTGGGAAAAGAACCTGTTGGAAAACCTACCTTGAACACCATTACTTTTTGACTGGATTTGGCACTGATCAGTATTCTGAAAATATATTCTCTAATCTTGAAAGAATTTTCATAAAAATTTATTCAAAACTGCCAATGTTACTTCCATAACATTTTGAGGGGATTATTGGCCTCTTCAAAAACCATCGCTAAATTGCCACCGACTGAAGACGCCCTAAGACTACATTGTTTAAGATGTTTTTACCAGCTAAATATTTAGCTGATACCCACTTTTAAGACTCTGCCCGACCTGCCACCAGACATAACATAACTTACATCATGCAAATGCAAAAAAGATACTATACAATATTCTAACAATAATATTCTGTTCTAGACAGTGGAAGTAAAATTTGCAAATGCAGGAAAAAAATATTTGCTGTATCGGTTCCTGCTCCTGTATGGCACAGAAAAACTGCAGAAATAGTTTGACCACAGCCACTAATGTTTTGGAAAATGTTGATTCGTGTGGTGAATCTGATTCTGATTAGTTTGAAAGTCTTGTAATTATAAATTTTAATATTACTAATTTATGCTTTATATACTTCCGTCCAATTATTATTATTATTATTATTATTATTATTATTATTATTATTATTATTATTATTATTATTATTATTATTATTATTATTTATATTGGGGATTTATTGTATTTTGCAAAGCAATAGCCTTACTGTTTATAATCGATACCTTCAATAAATAGTTTATATTTTCCTATTTTTTATTTTCTTCCAAAAATAAAAAAAAATCTTGAAGTAATTAATACACCCTATTATTCATAGTGGATAAATCAATAATTTCTGTATAAAATAATATAAGAGAGTCAAACTGATTGCATACATTTCAATACTGAGAGAGATGCATACAGAGTCGAGAGGCTCTGCCTTTAATGTTTGCTTTCTAGTAAAACCATGACATCACTTATTATTAATTACTATATTTTTGTTAATTTAAAATCAAAAAATATGAGGAAAGTACTTTTACCTTGTCAATACATAGGCGAAACTTTTATGAGGAATAGTTTTTTTTTTAATTTAGGCTTTCGTTTTTCGTCAAATGAGAGATATATTTCTAAAAGATTTTCTATACGAATTTGTAGACGGTTGAAACCAAGATATTGACGTTTAAATTTATTTCGGCCATAATGGCTAATGTAAATGATTTTTTTTTTAAATAATTATAAAAAAATATTTCCTACAAAGACCTAATTCAGCATTAAAACAAATAATAAGCATTTTTTTTTTCAATAAGGTGGTATCAATATCTGGATTTTTGATGATAGTGCCCTTCTGCACATTCTAATTTTGTATTACCTTCGGAATAAGGGTTACCTTATCTATGAAAAATTCAGCTTGTGACAAAAGAGTGGGAGGTAAATCGTTTTCTTGAGCGAATATTTTAATACAAATACTTTACTAATATGACAACAGCGGGTATTATACCCTACTGTGTCTCTTAGAATATGTCTTATTCAGGACCGCACGATATTTGTTAGTAGTTACATCTCCTGGTTATCTGTGGTCACTTCAAATGGATGCGTAAGTAATGTACATTTCTGTGTTGTGTAGTGCACAACCAACTTGGAGTATCCAATTAATACAGCGTTCATGCCGACGACTGTTACCATAGTTCAGTAAATGTTTCGTACGTCTGGATATCCAGCAAACTACCATGCCACACCTATACATTTAGTTTTCAACATTCACACAAGGAGATTCGAATTCAATCACTTTATTTCGAAATTTTACCTGCTTGTGAATGAAAGCCTAAATAGTTCAGTGATTAGCGAAAACTAGATTACAGTGCATTGTAGCGACATTATTTAAGTGTGTAAAACTTGTTAAACGATATGATTAGGTTCCTGAACATTTATAATTGATATTCAGGAGAATTTTCCAGACTATTTGTACCTAGTAGAAATTAGTTACATTCGTAAATGTCGAGTGTTTATCATTTATCAAGCCTGATATTAGCTTTTATGCTGAAAACGGTCGCCTATATCTTTTTCTATTGAAAGTAAATGCTCCCGATAATTTCCTGGCTTTTCTACTCAAAGACTGTGCACATGTCCTTGCTTATCCCCTAATGTCTAATGTAAATCTTATATCTATTCTTCCAGATATGTAAAAAAACTACAAAAATGGAGATATATTATTAATTATTATATATCTCCATTTTTGTAGTTTTTTTACATATCTGGAAGAATAGATATAAGATTTACATTAGACATTAGGGGATAAGCAAGGACATGTGCACAGTCTTTGAGTAGAAAAGCCAGGAAATTATCGGGAGCATTTACTTTTTCCAAAGCAACTACGTCTTTCTCACTAAAACAACTATTAATAGCAAGACAAGTATATTGTTGTCTATCATCAACTTCAAAATATGAATCCGATGACCTAATGAAGGATTGTTGAAAGTATTCAGCAAAACCATTTACAAAAAAAAAATTGGATTTTTTAAAATGTTATTATCGTAAACCATATTTTTAGAATTGTTGGCAATATTGGATTCTACAGTATAACAAATTCTTTTAAGACTCCTAGTTAGTATTTTTTAGGCACCAGACCAAATAGGGACTAAATGTAGAAATACTTAGATTTTTATCATTATTATTTAAAATCATGATATATAAATGATTACAAGTATACTACTAATATGAATTTTATATTCTTTTATTAATATTTTATTATACAATGTCATTAAAATCGTTCTTTCGACAAAAGGCACGTGATA